TGTTGCAGTGCTACGACGGAAGTGTTAAAATCATGTCGATATTCTCTGCTTTCTCCTCTCCTACTCTGTCCTGTCCCAGTTTGCGTAATCCACCCTTCCAGCCCTCCGCCAACACATCCCGCAACACCTCTTCAGACAGCAAACAGAGCCCTCCCGCCTGGCTCTGCAGCATAATGCAAGGGCATGGTTAGAATACTGTGCTAAGAGTGCTTAAATGCTTCTAATTCGTAACTTGATTTAAAACTTGGTTGTTTAATTAGAAATGTTAGATCCATCTTCCTCTCTTTCCAATCGTTCTGACAGCTTTATAAATAGTTTATCTCCAAAGCTCAGTTTTGACTGTTAAGCACATTCTACTTTCGTTATTCATGGTTATGTGGATTTATAAGGTATTGCATTTGTTATTTTTTTTTTTTAATATATTATAAAACCGGCTTCAAGCCTGTATCCAGTTCTCTGGCGTTTGTCATCTATAAAAAAAAACACTGACATACTGACATACGTTAGTTTTTGACATTAGGTTATTGAATAATGCACTTAGTCATGCTGACTCAGTGAAAATGTTTGTTTCATTGTGTGACCAGGGGCAGCAGGTGGTAACATGTTCAGTCATCACAAACACAATAACTTGTGATTCCGGATGTTTAGGATAACTGATTTTATTTACTTATTTAACACGAACCAGTTACTTAGGGTTAGTAAAAGTAGAAAAGTCGGAAAAATGAGTAGTATGACATGTAGTTTGCAAACCACCAACAGGCTTAAAATAGATATAAACAAAGCCCACTAACTTATGGAAAATTAAAATTAACAGATAAACAACAAAGGGTTCCTGAATCGATCAATGCAATGCTATTGAACCTTAAAATCCTTATTGGGGATGCTTAATGTTCCCTCTTTGGTAAAAATTCACTGTCTCATTGCCAGAGGGATTTTTGTGGCTCATGAGACTACTTAAAGGATGTTGTCGGCTTTCGGTAACTTTGGCCCGAGTTTTGCTCTCATTGATCCTTCTTGCTCTCCTCCTTCCTCCTAGGAGTCCGTCCAGTGCATACCAGCACGTACTGCAGCGCGTATCAAGGGCAGATGGCAGCCCACCTCCCACAGGGCCTGGCACGCGTCCTCTCAAAACCCAATCAGCAAGCAGCCATCTGCACGCCCACCGTCCAACTGGGCACAGCGTGTACCTCAACAAACAGCAGGTGGACTGCAAAGAGCCAATAACAAATTGAGCTTTTTCATTGTCTCCCTTGCCTGATGGCTACACTGTGTTGTTGTGTTTAAATGAATGCTGACATTGACTGTTTGTAACAGGTGACCATCAGTTCAAGGAGTGGAGCTGGGAGGGTGGCGCGCAAGCGACAGGCAGCTTTTTGTCCACGCCAGGTGGACACAGAGTCCTCGGGAAGCAGTACTGAAGCGCAGACAACGCGGAGTCGCCACCAGGGTGACCCAACCCATCTGTCACCACGCCCCTTGATGGCGGCCAACCCCTCCCAACAATTTACAATGACTATTCTGTGTCTTTTCCTTTCCATCTCTTTTATTTTTTGTTTACTCTGGCATGACCTCACCACTCCTATTTAGACTTCTCCTTGTGTATGTATTTCTGATGATATGATTTTGTATTTCTCACTGTTTCGGTTTGTTTTACATTTTCTGCTATTCCACTGATTTTCTATAAAATTGTATTTTGAAACTGCTGGTCAGGCAGAGATTTTATGTGTGAGAGAAGCAGCTGTTATCAGTATTGAAATTTAATGCAATTCCCTCATCAACTTTGCTGAAGAACATCTTCAACAAATTCTCCGACCTCAGTGTAGCTTGGTGAGCTGGTTTGGGTGCAAGTGTTTTTGCTTGTATGTAAGAGATCAGTCCCCTTGTGACCCCTAACTTTCATCACCATAAATGGGCTCCCTGCATCAGGACAGCCTTCACTGAGAAGAACGTGTGACAATCAAAATTATCTTTTGGAAATGACGTTCACCCTTCAGTGATACCTGAACTTGGACTGACCTGAAGTGTTTTACGGAGGCGCGGTTGCGGTGATTGTTAATGAAGGCCTTTTGTAGATTGTTGAAAGAAGGACTGAGAGCGTTCGTTTCGATGTAGACAACAGTAGCCATTATTCTCTGCATTCCCTTTTCTTTCTCCCAGTCGCAGCCTTGTCGATTCAACATCTGGGACTTATACCAGGCTTCAGTTCCAATCCCCACCTTTTCTCTATATCGCGCGCCACCTCACCGCGCGACGTCCTCACGGAACAGTCGGTCATAACCTAACATATCAGCCCACCTATCCTGCAGAGGTGCGCCCGGCAAGTCCGCTGGCCTAGAGAGGGTTACACAGATTCTATATTTCAAGATTACGGAACGGAGAGGACCCAGTGAATTATAAAAATAATTAACTCTCTTGGCTTTTGTTTTTTTTCACGATAGCGGTATGCTGGATAAGAGTGTGACCAGCACGCTACGGCAACCCACCCATCCTATATATGTATATCTATAGCAACTACATGAAAGCTCTGTACTTCCCAAACGTTTCGGCACTCATCCCCTGCCCCCCACAAGCAGACACAGTTGGATACTCCCTACAATACAATCCACAGACGCCTGCCTCTCCATCGCCATGTCTAAACACCACACGACCGACCACAGCTGTCCCCATCCTAAACTACTTGAGCTTGATTTGCTGGTAAGAAATTAAACAGAGCACCTCGGCGTGCAATAGCATCACGCCACCACGACGCAACCAGCGAGTGCGCACCCCAAGCAGTATCCAGTTGGAGAATTGATACTGATGCTGACTTCTCACTGCTCATAGCTCCAATGTGCCTAGGGTGATAGAGACTTGGACCTACCTTTGCGCCGCAGCAGGGTGCCTCCGGGGGCCAATCAGGCGTCCATTCAATCTATCTCCGACATATCGACCCGGATGCGTCCAGTCGACTGAGGCATCCGCACTCCGCACAGAACTCCGGCTCGCCTAGCGAGCTTCACCTGATCAACTCAGCGAACAGGCTACTGGAGCGAGGATGACCTCTGTAGGATGACAGACCAGTGTCGAGATCTCACCACCCACAATGAAGGTCTCTGTCTGCAATGGAAGAGTTGAATCTACCTCTGGTACAGATTAGCTTCCTGGGGCCTCCCCGAGAGGCACCCACGCCAATTCCCGTTACATATCCTCCTCACACACCAGGCAGGTGGGGCTACATATATGATACCACTAGCACTCCAAGCACTAAGGTAAAAGCAGAAAAGAAGAAGATTCATACAAGACATCCAAGTCCAAATATCTCTTCCATGAGGAAACTCGTATCTATTAGAACCGTTTGTGCTGAGCTAGGTTTCTACATTAGAAAACGATTACAGACACACGTTACAGATCTATTATCAACCTCGTATGTTGGTTGCTTCTCACTTCTGATGTCTTAAAACCCTCCACATAATATAGATTTATGTATCTATACTAATCTTTTCCTCTTCATGATATTCTCCGCATTCATCTGTCTTGGAGTGTGCAGGCCGCCAGGGCAGGCCAATGTAACGGCTGGTCGCACTCATAATGTTGTGCACTCGCGAGTTCCACAATCTGTTGCGACTCCTGTGACCCTATAGTACCCAGCGACGAGTGCTACTACCGCCCACCACACATCCAGACCCTTTGACGATTGCGCTATGTAACTGTCTGTTGTGAATGCTCTCCTGCTAGTTTTTTGTCACTATAGCAACGCAAAAACCTCTTCAGGATGTAAGAATTGTTTGAAGATTTCCTGGCAACCAATCAACCGTACTGTGGGACGTAAAAGCCTTTAGACAAAAAGGGGATGATGGATCAATCTCACATTGTTGCATGGCATGTTATTAGGTCGGCTGGAGGGTATTCATTGTAGGAGTATGATGTTTATCACCTTTTATTCTGACTGATCGAGTGCACGAGTGCTGCATGAACGAAGGCAAGCTGTTTTAGTAGATGATAAATCTGAAGGAAGATGTAAATGATCTAGAGAGACAAATGTACTCATCCTATGTCTCTTAAATATGTAACATCTTCATTTAACACCATGACTCGCTATTAGCATCCACAAATCATCCAAGACAAAGCTCTGATTCATCATAGCTTTCGAGTCAGTATCAGTCTAAACTGTGGGCCACATGTGTATTATCAGATGTCCAGATCAGGCTATGACCCCAATGTCGGGATGAGCCTGAATTGATCACATGGGAATGCATAAGCCTAGCACGCTAGGCGGATTTCAATCCTTTCACGCAGAAGGTCACTGATCGGAAGCCAGCAGCTGCACCATGCTGCAGAAGAGTTCGGATACGAGTCCTGAATTGCAATTGTGATATCTACCTTCATTTTAATACATGAGATTGTGTTGGATTCCCTTCCCTCGTCGCACTGTCTGGTATTAACTGACCGTATGTGTTTCCTCAATGCAGTGTGTTGATGTGGAAGGGGAACGTCCAGGCTCTGTCAATTGTCGGCAGTTTTCCTGTACCCTCAACTCCTGCCACAGTGGACATGGCCTCACGCTCAGCCCCCTGACCTGCAGTACAGCATGGAGTCAAGGCAGTGGGCTAGCACAGGTACGCACACGCACACGCACACATCAATCAAGTATTAACATGTTGTGATATGCATCTGCTGGGAAGATTTCAAATTGAGTTAGGAAATACAGTTATACTAGGCAATTGTATCCGCACAGTCTAT